GAAGAGAAGAAGAAGAGAGAGAGAGAGAGAGAGAGAGAGAGAAACAAGGAGAAAAAGTTTAGGAAAAAGAAAGAAGAGGACAAAACACACAAATGCCGGCTTGGGATAGAGGACTTTGCACACCGAGGATAAATTCGACAAACGAAAACGCGTGCAAAAAGGGACAATATGAGTGCCGACAATCGTTACCAAATTTCTTCAATAATTCATTGAAATTAGACAAGCGCGCGGCAACGGTGGCAAGGGGTAGGAGGAGGAGGGGAGGGGGGGCAGTGGGAGGAGTGGTGAAATGGGATATCGGGATCGTCCACCAAGTACATATTAAACGTAACGGCGGCAAGGCAATCGGTAGTAACCGAACTAAAGTGGTTTTATTCGTCGTTCAGTGCGATCAGATATGGAGACAATGAGAGAACCCTCCGTATTCCTGATCGTGGACCTCGAATCTATCTATCTCTATCCGACACGAGGTCTACGCTACTTAAGAGATTGCACTCGAGGACGGTAGCATATACGAGCTGAATGACCACCGTATAAAATTCGCATCCACCGCGACCGTCACCGGAAGAGGGGGTGGGATGATAATGGCCACTCGCCATCCCGATTTCAAGACCAGCAATCTGTGCGTTCGTAAAGACAATTGGATTTGGAAATCATCCCACCCTTCTCGATGCCTAACGTGTCCATATTGTATCTGTAGAATAAATTTAATTAATGGGTCAGCCGATCGCGCAATTTTTCTCGAACAATATCGGAGATTTTCACGAATATACAACTGCGTCTTAATTAATTTTTCATAATTCGTTTCATTTTTCATTTTTCCAAATTTTTATAATGCTCCGGTTTTTATTTGTTATATAAATTAATGTTGATATTTTATTAAACATGCAATTTCCAGTTGGAGTAAAATATAGTAAAATTTTATTCGTGTCTGACGAAGCTACATTAACGTGGTTACATTGTTATATTCGTACATCTAAACTAACATCTAAAATAATATCAAAATATTTGAACATCTATTACGACTTAAAGTGCACTTTAGACAGTTTCAGAATAGAATAGAATTGTATTTATAATACGATATACCGTGTATGTTAATATATATATATATATATATTTATACCTTAATACAATATTTTATATATTTAAATATTTTTTGTTCACGTTGCCCACAAAATTATAAATGAAATTCCATCCTAAATTCTAAACGCGAGTTCTAACCGAAGGTAGTAATATTTAAAGCGGGAGTTTTGCATAATATATTTATAACATATCTCGCAACGATAGCTAATAAATATTCTTATATAAATTCTCATAAAAAGGCGGAACATAAGGGAAGAAAAGCGCTTTCGTGCACCAGAATGAGGCGCGTACTATGATGTAAACGACACCGGCGCGGAGAGCATTAATTTGCATCTGCTTTCGTACTCCACCACTTCCGAAAATTTTATTCGCTCGCCGTTTAATTGTGGTATACGTGAAATAATAAAGTGGAAGTAAAAGGCGGGTCTGCGGAAAGAAAAGTGTGCCGGCCGAGAGCTTAATACTCGTGTAAGTAGTAGCCACTGCATTACAGTTAGATTCATTTGCATGCACTTTTACATCCTTCCGTCCTCAAAAAATATTTATCGCCCGAGGTTTCACCATGACGCCTCGCTTATGAATTATGCATGTGAAGCACGCGCGCAGGACGTAGCTCATTCCTAGCGCAATTTCGCCATTGAAGCGTAATTTCAGCAAGCTCGGGTATTAGAGCCCCTCGAGCAGCTTTTTCGTGATAGTGCTTACGAGGGAGAACGAAAAGACGTGTCATTCGGAACGACGATCGTGATCACCTCAATTGCGTCGGAAAAAAAAAAAAAAAAAAAAAAAACGAGAGCGTGATGCGTATTAACCTTACTATGCCTCATGTGTATGAATGTGACTATGAATGTGATATTTTATTTCATCACGAACGTCACGAAATGCATTTTTCTTCGCCATCAATTAGATGTGTAACCAACGATACCATTGTAAATATCTATAAGTAATTTATTTAAATTTTAAAAATTATATTCAACACGTTCTGTTTTTTTTTTTTTTAAATATTTTTTTCAATGTTAATAAAGAGCAAAAAATTCTACAAAAGATTCTAAAAGATTCATACAATTTTTAGAGCAGTGATCTTTGAAACGCGATATTTCGCTTACTGCTCACCAAGTGCAAATTGGCAATTCATTTTCATTATATATAATGTTGCAATACAATAATATATTGGAACAATGTGCACCATTGTCAACACCAGATTTAACGTGACCGAAATTAAATCCGAGATTACGCGCTGATCGAATAGTACAGGTTTAAGTCACCATACAAACAAACGTGGGAGATACCAGCGGAGGGATATGCGGTGAATAGTTTATATTTAGATTGTATCGCAAACTTTGCAATATATACATATATGTAAATGCTCGCTACAAAACTAAAATCATACAATTAGCGGCAGAATTGAACCGCGTTATAATCGTTACAACGCTATATATCGATAAAATTATAATACACGTATACCGTGAGATAATTATGAATAATTATGTACCGATCTCTCAACAAAGTCATCTATCACCTCTGTTATAAACCAAATCAAGAATGCCAATTACGATACATCGATATATATATATATATATATATATATATATATATATATATACAGGAATGTATGTCAATTATTCCGAGTAATATTTCTTGACAAAGGAAACTTTTTTGTCAATTGACGAGCTATTAAGTTTTGATAGTAATATTTTTGTTTACTGAAAGATATTGTGAAAAATTAAAATATTACTAAGATATTTCTAAGAAAAAATTCTCTAACGAGAATCTCGAGCTATTAGGCTTTTTGCGCAACGAGCAATTATTTTATTTAATAATATATATTCATTTAATAAAGAACTAAAAATATAGCATTATACAATTTTGTATTAATAAGTACAAATGTTACTTTGTATTAAAATAAAAATTTGTACTTGTATGAATCTTATAAGATTTGTAAAAATCATATTGCAAGTACTTTAAATGATTCGTCTCAAATGTTATATAAATGAAATTTAGTTACAAATAGTTATAAATAATAATAATTTGGCGAATCAATATCGATTATTCGCTCATTCGCTCATGCGTTTTCTCAAGTGTTTTAAAAAGATATTACAATATTATTACAATAGGACAAATTTAACATTACCGGTGGTATACGCTGCGAACGTCGACCGACCATTCTGCAGTAGAAGGCAAACGAAAACAAAGACCGCCATCATCCTCGGTAAGAAATTAACAGTCATCCCCTCCCTCCTTCCAGCATGTAGCTGCATCACCGATATCCGATTAACAAATCCGATGTCACGAGTATAAGATCCGCATTCGCATTCTATCGGTTCACCAATCGAATCTCTCCAGTCACTGCGAATTACTCCGGGAGAGACGACACTCGCTCCGTCCCTCGGGACTCCGGCAGGGACAAGTGTTAAAGCACTTTTCGCGTTGACCCAAGAGGATCCCCCGATGTGTGATCTTTCATCAAGAGGGCTGATACTATGTCAGAATTTTGTAAAAGATGATGTCCTCGCGATGCATTCTGGATTCGGCGCGTATCGCCGAGACGCGGAGAGACGCGTAACGTCACACGACTTTTCGACGTCGGACAAACGCGTCTCCGAATATTCCGGGAAAAGTATCGGGATAAGAGAGGACACCGATATTTTTCGTCTCTTGCCTCGGATTCCCCCCCTTCTCGTTTCACGCGCGCTGTCGTACTCGGCGCAACTCAGTTGTGTCGTCAGACGGCTGTCAGAGCCGTCCCGTCGAGCCGAGTCCCGAGTGTTCCCGCAAGGAGAATGTTCGATCTGGAACGGCGAAACGAGAACGGCTCCCGACAACTACACGCTTGGGACGCTCGGCGTCGACTGGCGTTCACAAAGATACCAGTGGAACCGGTCGGCGGCACACGCCGCCGTCCCGGCGTCACGGCGCAGATCTCTGCCACCCCCGTACAAGACCTCTCACCCTTTCCTGAATCAGGCCAATCGGCGCTTGCGAGTCACCGCCCATCGCGTTGCGGGGGCGGCACCGCGCCCGAATTAAGATTTTCGACTTTTCTTAGTCGGCTCTACTCCCGCCAGCTATCTGTCTATTCTCCTTTTGCCCTCTCTCGCACCATGTTCTCTCGGCATCACGCATTGTCCCTTCATTTTGAGAGAGCCTGTCCTCCTCTCTCTCTCTCTCTCTCTTCTCTCTCTCTCTCTCTCTCTTCTCTTCTCTCTCTCTCTCTCTCTCTC